TAACAATAAAATCTTTTCACACCTTTTTTTTTTTTTTTTTTTTTTTTTTTATATTAAAGTTTCATATTATTAATGTAATCTATAGAGATATTCTTATTGGTATATTTTGATTGATATCAATTTTTGCATTAAGTAGTTCGTATTATCATAGAACATATCATTGATCTCTCTTTCTTTTTCTCTCTCTCTCTCTCTCTCTCTCTCTCTATCTATCTATTTCTTTTATCACGGATTAGTCATCTCTGAAGTATTACGATCGAGTACGGTAACGTTAGAGCGTAACGAGGGAAGAATACCGGTTTGCCTTTACTCCCTATGAAAGGTTGCCAGTGTGTTTCGCAAGAAGAAAAGAGAAGAGAAGACAAACGAGCCTGAGTCTTTAACCTTAGAATCCTTTATTCTGTTCTTACGCGGTTGGATAGACACAACCCGTAGATAGGTATAAACTTAATTAGCTCGAGTACGCTTAATCTACAAAAGATTTTTTCTTTCTTTCTTTTTTCTTTTTTTTTTTTCTTTTTTTATCTAACGTCGTGATATTTCGCGTTCAATCAGTTTATCTTTGACGTTCCACGTCGCACTGTACGAATCGTTAATGGTGGAACTTCACCGTAGTAAAAATGTTTTTCTTCTCTCTCTCTCTCTCTCTCTCTCTCACTCTCTCTCTCTCTTTCTTTATCTCCTCCCATGCACGAGGTCCAGCGATCGACTATCCGGGTACCGTGTACGATTTACATTTCCGTTTCTCTCTTGGCACTATGCTGTCCGGTTAGTCGCCGGCACGTTCTTGTATGTGTACGCGTTAGAATCGCGCAGGTGATTCATGGGCTTTCGTAGAAACGTGTCGATTTTGCATCTCCACGATTCGTGGCCTCTTCTATAAAACGTGAATCCTACTTATACGTTCACCAAAGGGGCAACCTCACTGCTGCTGCTGCTGCTGCTGCAGCAGCTTCTTCTTCGTCTTCTCCTGCTTCCCCATTGCGATTTATGGAGCAAAGAGAAGAGCTACGATGTGGTTTATTTGTCCAGGTATGTGTATGTGTACATGTGAATACCATGACCATACTACTATTAATGCTGCTGTTACTACTACTACTACTACTACTACTACTACTACTACTACTACTACTACTACTACTACTATTACTATTACTATACTACTACATCAAGATGCACACCTTTAAAGTTTAGTCGAGTCAGGAGAACGTTGCGATATATCTCGGACGCGCGTGCATCCACCCACGCGTGTTACAACGACCACTTAACTCTTCTCTCTCTTTCTCTCTCTCTCTCTCTCTCTTTCTTTCTTTTTGTCTCTCTATCTTTATCTATATCTCTTTTCTCTTTCCATCTATTCTTTCTCTATACGACGACTACCGAGAGACATCCTATTTATCGCATGGCCTCGAGTATTCGATGGAGCCAAGCCGACAGGAACGATAAGTCGATCGTATTATCGATCTTACGGAAGAGCCAGCCTGCCAGTTAAACTCTCAAGATTTTTCCTTTCTCGAACTGATATCGATGACTACTCGTATATTCAGAATAGAAAAGTAGGATTAGTTTGATATACGAGATGGATTTTTTTTTTCTTTATTTCAAGATTGCAAGAAAATTTTTTCTTCCCACTTGAATTATCTATTTTCGATATCAACAGCTGATTTAGACATTCCGTTTCTATTCCGTTTTTCTTCCCTTCTTTTTGTTCCTTTTCCCTTTTTCTTTTTCTTTTATTTATTTATTTATTTATTTCTTTTTTTGTTCGTTTTATATACAAATTAAAAAAAAAAATAGCTGCGTAATCTATACACCTTGCGCTTGTGGCCAGCCATCGCTCTTTCTATTCTTTTACGACTCTACGCTCGCCAGATTGTCAGTCTCCTTTCCTCGAGAGCTATCCCTCTCTTTCGCTGAATCACTGTACTTTCGAAC